GTGCCGAACGATAGGTCGCTCTCTCGTGCCTTCTTCTTCGCAGCCGCCTTGACGGCCGCTGCGGTCTCGTGTCTCTCTTGGTCCACCTCGCGTTGCGGGTGTGCTTTCTTCCGTATTTTCCGGGCGGCGAGTTTCCTCGCATCAATTCCATGTTGAAGGCCACGAGGTCCTCTCCTAGACGAGACAGTGTGGTGAGTGGAATCAGGATTACGCACAGCAAGCATTGATTCGCGGTTCATGCAAACTGAGCCTGCGACGGCGGGGTCTTGCGGAGAGCGGGCGTCCCGCGGGCTCCGTGAAGAGGGAGGTCAAAGGGCGCCCGGCGGCGGGCTGGCGAGGCCCATGAATTCTTTCGTCTCGGTTTTAGAGCAGGGCTAATTCCCCCGCTGCGCTATCAGGCATCGAGCTTGAGCTTGAGTGAATAATACCTACACCTCGATGTCGTGTTATCATCGCTCTGCTGCGCGTCGATTCGTGTTATTATCGCTCCATTCGGTGGTAGTAGTGTGAGGATATGTGTAGTGAGTGGAATAAAGATTTCGCACATCAGCAAGCCAGATTTGCGCTTCTTACAATCAAACTAGATTGAAGACACGCAGCACACAGATGTCAACCGCTCTGTAGTATGCAAGAAGAAACCCCGACACGAAATAAATATAGACTAAGTCCACAAAGAAATATGTTGGTTCTTCGCTCAAAAACTCCGAAACACCACAACACATAGGAGGGGGTCCAACCCCTCCCTCCTGTGTGACCCCGGTTGGGTCGCCTACCTAGTAGAAGTGGAAGATAGGGGCCAGAGGGGCAGACGACAGAGTCCAATGATGGAAGAAAAAAAATGTATTTTGATAATCCAAATAAAAACGATGTGACACGACAAAACACCCACCGAACCACATACAGCATACCTGCGCTCAAAAAATCCGAAACACCACACATTTATTATGTACTTGTATGTGTTATCATCGCTCTGCTGCGCGTGTCGGTTCGTGTTATTATGATCGCTTTGCTTCGCGTCGGTGGTAATTGTGTGAGGATGCGTGTGGTGAGTGCAGTAAAGATTACCCACAGAAAGCACAGATTTGCGGTTCATGCAAACTGGATTGAAGACAAACAGCACACAAATATCAACCGCTCTATGCAAGAAACCCCGACATCAAAGATAAGACTACAAAGAAAGATGTTGTTTGGGGTGCTCGGCAGAGTATACTGTCAACGGGGCCTCCGGGGGGTACGCGGATGGAATGTATTGACGGACATGCTGCATGGCGATGGTGTGGCTTTCCGCATGTCTCTTACTCTCTAAGCAACAAGGTCTTGAGTCAACCTTGTTTCTCTTTCGGCCTCTGACGAGCTACCGCACCCAAACGCAATATATTGTAAGGCCTGGTGTTGGTAGTGGGTATTGGCGTCTGAGCGGTGGGAGCTGGGCCATCGCGGGGCAGCGGACACCATTTTCATAGCTGGGATCGCGGCCAAAGGGGGCGAGGACAGCAGTGCATAGCTGGTGCGGTGGCCATTGCGGGGACCGGGACAGCAGGGTTTATAGCTGGGACAGCACTTCGAGGCTGGGACAGCAGGGAGGGTTTAGAGTTTTAGTTTAATATGTCTGGAACGGAGGAGGACGCAACTCTGAGCGCGAGGTTGGATGAGGCGCTACGAGCTATAGAGGCAAGACTGAGACGAAGGAGGCCAAAGCTGAGACGGAGGAGCTTAGGGCATCACAGCGGCGGTCTGCGGGTGCACCTGCCGGCAGCAGCTCAGGAGGCGACGGTCTAGTTGCTCCTGGAGGGGCTTCATCTGCACCGGTGAGGCCAATGTGGCCAGGCGGGGTGAGTCATGATGGCGGTACTGGGGTGCCGGGCTTGCCTCTGGGAGGTACAATTGTCAGAACTCCTGTGCCTAGAATCCCGCCTAATTGCACCGCCGACACTTTTCTCAGTTGGCGGAGACGCTTTCTGGCCTACGTGGACAACCACAATCTCCAGCACACAATCTTCGGCAGTGCTGAGGTTCCCGTTGTCAGTTGTCAGGATGAAGGATACTTGACACGCCAGTATGGTGCACAGCTGGTTGTTGAGCACAAGAGGACATGGAGTTTTATCTTGGAGGCAGCGGTGGGGGCCCCATTTGAGAACAACCTGTACTCTTGCCATTCCGTGGCAGAGGCGTGGAGGATGATGGAGGATTGGTATTTGCCGAACCACCCAGCTGATTGTCAGCTCCTCGTCGCCGAGCTAGATAATATAACCATGAGTGATGATGAGGACCCCAAGCTTTTCTTCTCGCGCGTCGCACAACTGGAGACCAAGACGAGCTGTGCATTGCTAAGAGTGACCAGGAAGTTGTGCAGATCCTTGTGCGCCAACTCCCCGCACGCTACGATGTCGAGAAGCGCACCAGTCTTTCCAAGCGTG